AACGATGCAGACCCTGGCAACCGATGCAGACCCTGGCAACCGAATACTAAAGAAATAACATGGGTATCCATATCTCCAAAACAAAGACATGTTGATATTCTTGTTGAATGTCTGTCAACAAGTCCGTCTCCACGATGGTATGTTTATGCTGGCCATACTGATCTTCATTATTTATGCCTGGATACACATCGGCAGAAGTGACAGACGGTGCATGCTGGGAGCAGGGAACAATGGAGCCTACATGGTATATGTCATTGTAGCACGAGCCCTACAATACAAGAGCAGCAGGATTTTTTTCAGAAACACCTTGATGAATATAGTACTTCGGCAGTACTTGAATTTAAATAAGATTTTACAAGTCCGTAGCGACTAAGATATATTTTGTAATCACACTGTTGTTAGTCACCACATTCACATCAATGATACAGAGATACGACATTGGTCATGCCCACTTGTCCTCAGCACTGTCTGGGGCAGTTGGGTAGCCTAGTGGTTAAAGCCGGGTTCGATTCCCAACATGGGTACAATGTGTGAAGCCCATTTCAGGTGTCCCCTGCCGTGATATTGCTAGAATATTGCTAAAAGTGGCGTAAAACCATACTCACTCACTCACTTACTCAGCACTGTCTGGCGTGGTTGGGTAGCCTAGTGGTTAAAGCTGGGTTTTATTCCCAACATGGATACAATGTGTGAAGCCCATTTCAGGTGTCCCCTGCCATGATATTGCTAGAATATTGCTAAAAGCGGCATAAAGTCATACTCACTCACTCGGCACTGTGTATTTGTTCATGTTAACTAGATGTGGACAGGAAACAACCAATCCCTCTAGACTTTTACTAGTCTTGGTCTAATGGGCTAGTGGATGCGTTTAACCCAGATGATAAAACAATTTTGTCCGTATTTATCCAACTGCAATGTAAGCACCTACAAAGAACCTAAGAATACTGTATATTCTTACAAAATCAATTTTTAAATTATCATATTTCATAATAATATACTGGCATTAGTCACATAGTCAAAACCCAAATTCAATTTGCTATAGTGTCTATAGGACAAGCCGGTATAAATCTTTATTATTTGTCGTCACAATATGGCTGAAATATTGCTGATGTGACGTTAAATTCTAACTCACTCACTCACTCACAATTATTTGGATGGTTTTCTTACACACATACCATCATGAAGACACTGTCTGTACTGGCGACAAAATACGAAAAAATAGTCTCTTTAATTAATCTCTCGTCATGGAAACTAATTATCATGCATACTATGATGTAATACTGTATTTTTCTGAAAAAAATCCAGAGTAAATATTTCACTTGAAAGAAAAGGGAAATAGATAGACCTGGAATACGAATTTTTGTCATCCTCAATGACAATATGCTTTTCAAAGTAAGATCATTAAGAACCAACATAATAAATCAAACACTACTTTTTTTCAAATGAAAGAGTTGAAATTTTGAGAGGTCATGCCACTGAGGAAAATAGCATCTTTGTCAGGTTATTCAATGACATAAACTTCAACAGTACATGATACGTACCCTGACAATGGTGGATGATATTGTACATCAGATACAGGGGAAACAACTTTGTTAGTCTGTCACATTATGCATGATACAAATGTTTACTTATTGACAATTGATACAAAATACAATCATCACCTACTTCATCAACACATTAATGACATACATTGTGCATTATGAGAGCTGTTTTTTTCTTTCTTTTATCATGTTTATATAGTTCTATTTGATAAGGAAGTGTAAATCTCCAAAGATGTAGAGCGAAGCACAAATAAAAAAGGAAATTCCAACATATTAATTGGCTAAAAATAGACTCCCCTGAAACATCGAAAGTTCAGTCTGTCTCTCAACATCATGAACCAGTCTCAGTAAGAAAGACTACTTTAAAAAAAAAAAATGAGTGAGTGAGTGGGATCCTGCTTAAGTTATACTGCAGCAATATCATCGCAGAAGACACGAAGAAATGTACCATACAAGACTATTGAACACTTTAACCAATAGATCACCCCACTGCCTTGAAGCCTGGAAGCAAGACTACAAACTAATCATTCATGTAAATAAGTAATAACACAGTAATAACTGACTCACAGACTTGAGGCAGTTCAAAGGCTTTCCATATTGTCAAAATGATATTTACATGGGGCAATATGTCAACATCAACACCATATAGCTACACCTCTTCACGTAAACACATTTCATAATTACTCAAGCTGCAACCAAGCAAATGAAACTTTGAAATTTGATCCAGCACTGAATACACGTGTATCAGATGGAGAGCCAGGAGGAGGTTGATCTCCATATCTGATCACAGTAAATCAAAAAGAAGGATCTAACTTCCGTATCTACCTCTCAGCATCATGAAATATTACCCGTATGCTCCACTGAAGTATGTCCTAGGTTCTCGAATGTTTGAATAGAGTGTTGATGAAACCAGTGGAAGTGAGGATGAGATCTGATGACACACCGGATCCTGTTACATCAAGTTATAATGAGTCCCATACATCTGTGTAAGTACAATGACTTTGTCAAAACAAGGGTCAAGGGTCGCACACAGATCATGTTACGATGAAGGAGATTGACGTGATCAAATCACTGTCGGAATTCTGCTTCTTGACACTAACAGTTGAACTGTGCAGTTCCTGCTTGTAAGAGGAGTGAGTCAGGCTTGGATGATTGCATATCCTGATGACACAGGATCTTGTTCATAGTAATCACTGGTTTCTTTGGTCAGGACTTGATTATTTAAAAAATGGAAACTACACTGTTTGTTTGTTTGTTTGTTGTTTAATGCCACATTCAGGATTATTCCAGCTATATGATGGCGGTCTGTAAATAATCGAGTCTGGACCAGATAATCCAGTGATTGACATCATGAGCATCGATCCACGCAATTGGAATACGATGACATGCATCAACCAAGTCAGCAAGCCTGACTACCCGATCCCATGAGTCGCCTCTTACGACAAGCATAGTCGCCTTTTACGACAAGAATGGGTTGCTGAAGACCTATTCTACCCTGGATCTTCACGGGTTGGAAACTACTGACTGGCATAAAATAACAAACAAACAATTAACCAAAGTCGTCACCTCACCAACCTGTCCACAGAAATTGTTTGTTTGATATGGAAAATTGTCCTAGAAATAGAAGCAGTGTTTTTAATCAAGGGGACCCTGTCTGCTGTAAGGTATGCAACATACACCTAATAAGTTTATTACATGTCATGTAACTTTATGTGAAAACATGTAACATCATATACATATACTGAATTGAATAAGAAATATTTAAAAAAAATAAAAATAAGGAGATCCTTGGTTCCTTGAGTTCCTGTACATATTCCAATCTGGACCAGACTAACCAGTGATTGATATTATGAACAATGTCCCACATCATCAGGTACAGTGACACAAAATCAACTAGTTGCCTCTCGTGACCAGCATAGGTTACTGGGGAACAATTCTGTTGTGGAATCCCAAAGGGGTTCGCTGATATCTATCAATGGACCTGATGGTGATCCTGTTCTATGTCTCAGCTTTGATACCAGAGGATGCAACATATGAGGCAGATGACACGTGAGAAGTGATCAGTCCAGGTGGTCCACCACTACTACGGACCATAAACAACCCCCACCCCTACACATCAACCACTACCACCACCACAACAACCCCCACCCCTACACATCAATCACTACCACCACCACAACAACCCCCACCCCTACACATCAACCACTACCACCACCACAACAACCCCCACCCCTACACATCAACCACTACCACCACCACAACAACCCCCACCCCTACACATCAACCACTACCACCACCACAACAACCCCCACCCCTACACATCAATCACTACCACCACCACAACAACCCCCACCCCTACACATCAACCACTACCACCACCACAACAACCCCCACCCCTACACATCAACCACTACCACCAATACTACTACCACCTCCACCCACAACAACCCGCACCCCCACACATCAACCACCACCACCACCACCTCCACCACAACTCAACAACCATCACCCCCACCTATCAACCACCACCACCACCACAACTCACATCAACCACCACCACCAAAACCCACAACAACCACCATCCGCACCCATCAACCACCACCACAACCCACAACAATCACTGTCCCCGCCCGTCCAACACAACCACCACCCCTACCCGTCCACCACAAACCACTACCACCACAACCCACAACAACCACCACCCCCACCTGTCCACCACAAACCACCTCCACAACCCACAACCACCCATCCACCACAACCACCACCCCCACCCATCCACCCCCACCTGTCAACCACCATAACTCACAACAACCACCACCCCTACCCACCTTCTGAATAGATCTTAAGAAGTGAACTCTTTCATGCGACTTGACTGTCAACAGTCATTAATGTCCACTTTAAAAATTAGATTATCAAATTTTTATTCCAATCAATAAGACTATTAAGAGGTCTGGCCCTCTAACATAAAGCAGAGTGAACCTATTCAAGGCTACTATCTGCTGAGGTCTGAAACCAGACAGACTTGCTATGGCAAACAGGAAAACACACTACTAGCAACCAGTGCTCTAACTTCTGTTGCAATCAACATAAAATATGAAAAAAAAATCTCTTGGTGAAAATATTACAGAATAGTTTCAAAACAAAGTATTATTATATGACCATAAAATTGCCTTGTGAAAAGGAGAGAAAGACGAAAAAATTCCCCAAACTGGAACTTAGCTCAAAATCTGAATGCAGTGTAAACCATGGGGTTCCGAGGGTCTAAAGATTGTCTGCATTGGGCTTTTAATCTTTAACCTGAATCATTAACTTTAATAGGTAATACCAATCGCAACGACCCAATGCTTAATTCCAAACTGAAAACAGTATAGGACTACATCCTTCTGTTCATGAAAGTCAGAAACTTTGTAAACTGACAAACCAGTCTGGGAGACAAAACATAAGTTATTCGTTACCTACCTGGAAAATGCAGCATTACACTGCTGGCACTTGTACTTCTTTATGCCTGTGTGGAGTTTCATGTGGCGATCTCGACTGCGCTTATGGCGGAACAGACGATGGCAGTGGCTGCACTTGAACGGCATCTGGTCTCCATGAACCTAGCAACAACCATTTCAATTTTAGATCATGTAAATTTCTGTGCTTTTTGTAAACAGGGCTGTAATAAGCATATCATGCAAAATTCCATTTCTACTTGTTTTTGTGGGAATATTGATTCCAACTGGCTAAATTGGTTGATAGTTTGCACTAATTAATTCCAATATTGAATTAATTTCACATTCATTGAGCTAAAACAACCCAGATAAATCAATCTTGTAAAAATGTAAAAAAGTACTTTGAAAATATTAAAACTAAAAACTGAATAAGAAATCTTCTCGAAAATTAAATTACATTGAATTCTTACATGAAAATACAAACTTATACATTGTACTTGACAACCCATAAAGCAATATGTATATTCACCATACAAATACATTACACATGAGGTAACTTGTAAGTCGGTGAAATTTGACTTCGAGGTGATACAAACATAAAGAAAAAGCAGTGTTCCAAACACTGACACAAGCCTTAAAGATTTGAATTCTTATTGCTTGTCCTTGAGGACTTCTTACTCCCGATAAACATCAGTTTGAATAAACTCTTCAATACTGTCTTCCAGCTATCACAAACATCTGAGAGTGTCAGGAGGGATCTCCCAGCAGAATGGCCAACCTCAGCTTTGAGTATGAGTGAAGAGGAGGATAAACAAACAAGCCACTTCCATATGCAGTGTTCAAAATTCAGGGGTCCTTGGTCTTTGAGGTTTGCTCTTCTAGTATTTGAATCTAGGGTCGCCTTAATATTTAAGTTTTAGCAATGGATGATGACACGGACACCTTGACTTTCACAGTGATATGTCAGTGCTGTATGAATAAGGGGAGGTTTTGCAATAAGATGTATGCTCAATTAGTGAACTAGAGTAAGAAAATTGCATATTTCAATCTTGTCATGCCAATTCATCATCCGAGACCAGTATTTGAAAATAAGCATGTAAGTCAAGGGTCCTTATGTAAAACTCTGATATACAATTCATGTACCCCCGGTACTAATTTCAAATCCTGCGATACTGAAAACACCTGATACTAATACAGTACTACAGAGTTCAACATTAAAGGGAGACTCAGCTTGGGCATATTGGCAGACCTAGCAAGTTTGATTAAATTATATTTGTACGTTGTTTAGCACCGTACTCAGCAAAATTCCAGCTGTATGATTGCAGCTTGAAAATATTCAATATGGAACAGACAATCCAGTGTTCAATATTGTGAGCTACGATTGACACCATCGGTGTTTGATGACATGCAAATCAACAAAGTCACCCAGTCTGACCACCCGATCCATTTGGTCTCTTACGACAAGCACAAGTTGCTGGGGACCAGTTCTAACCCAGAATCCTCATGGGGTTGATTAAATTCTGTGATTTAGAACTAACTACCCACATAACACAGCAACATCTCAATCACATATTTTATACTCAATACAAGATCTGTACTACTCAAAAAAGCTAAGAATCACCTGATTTTTTCATATCACTATAGCTAATCTATCATGCCATGACAGATTAATGATAGTAATATGAAAGAATCTGGTAATCCTTAACAGTTTTGGAGTAGTATAGATCTACACGGGAAATGGTTATCAGAGTGCAGGGGTTCATCCCCTTTAAGAAGGGTCGATGAGGGTTGCTGCTATACAGGGATGAGAGTGTTTTTTTCTAAAGGAATACTGAAAAAAGTTATCAAGGGGTCTGGGTGACAATATGACTTATGCTTATATTGTAATAGCATGTATAACAGTGACCCTTGATGTAGGGAAATTCTCATCCCGGGCTATAGGGTTTCAATGTATGGAGGTCATGAGAACAACCATTTGACTTTCATGCTTAATTTCAAACATTGAGGAGTCCCAGTGTCAATTATTTTTTTATACTTGAAACAAGAGATATTGTGGAACCTACTGAAACCATTTTGGCATTTGTTAACTCATAAACCAATAAGTGTTGTTTGTCTATCCATAGAAAAACAAACCTAGCCCTTAAAGGGGGAGTTGGCTGGGGTAGAGCTGCAGTCCCAGCACTTTTCATTCACATCACTGATGACAACTCAAGACCTTGTATGTACTAAAGTACTCACGGAAATGAAAAAAACCCTGTTTTTTCGATCTCAGATTCTAAATAAATGCAGTTAATATACAAAATATATAAATATTCAAACAACTCAATTAGTACTAATTGGGCCTTGGCACAAATACAGCGTATCAAAGGTTTTTATGTCTTTTTACACGTAAAAGTGTGTAAAAATATGAACAAAATAGACTATTGTGAAACTGAGCATAACCAGGTGTTAGTCGATCAAGGTGAATGTCCATGACCTATGACACCTTGACGACAGGTGAAAAGAGGTGCTTGAAACCCACGTGCATGTGATTTGTCAGTGGTTAGTGATTTGTGAGTGGCATTGTGGGATAGGGAATCATCGTCAAAATATCAGAACGTAAAAGTAACTTATCCCCTTCTCAAACAACAACTTACATGTCATTATTATTATGTACATAAACATAGCTGTTATTTTTATTGTTGTTTTGATCACTTTTTTCCAGGCTAATTTGCATAATGCCTATAGCCTGTTTCTGCCATGTCAATTTGGACTTAGTTTTATTTTTGAATGTTGAAAGTGCCTACAAATTACCTCCTGTAAAGTACATTTTGTATTGAGCACTGAGATAAAACTAGCAAATCCAGACGAGTACTTTTCCAGTTGTTTTGTTATTTCGTATTTACATCTACGTAATGCTTTGTGTCGATTATTAAATCCAGCAAAACAGGTTTTTTTCATTTCCATGAGTACTTTACTCACACAGAGTGCCTGTATTATTGACACACAAGGGGCTCGTTACAATGGGCGAGAGGGGCAGTGGGGTAGCCTAGTGGTTTAAGTGTTCGCTCATCAAGCCACATGCGTACAGTGTTTGAAGCCTGTTTCTTGTGTCCCCTGTCTTGATAAAGCTGGAATATTGCTAAAAGTGGCCTAAAGCCACTCACCTACCACATCCAAACCTAGTCTCACCAAATATGTTAGTTCTAGTGTCAGTATATTTTTACATGAACCTGATAATCTATAAAATGTCCAAATAAATAAACATTTGCTTTAAAAAGGGGGAATGCATGTGCATCCCTGTACACACCCCTCCCCTACCCCCACTAGATCAGTGTATGCAGAATTTTATCTGAAATTTTATCTGAAATGTTACATGCATAGTTCCACATATAAGACCCAAGTTTACGATTTTCAAAACTTACAATATAATTTTCTTGCAAGAAACTTACAATTACATGTATTACAGTATAACAAAATGTCCAAGCTTATAATTTTTATTGTGTTTTAAAAAAAATATATCACAAAATAATTTTTCTTATATAAAACTTACAATTTCATGTATTTTGAGGTAAGCCATTCTGGAGAAGGCCTTATCACAGAAATGGCAGCCATAGGGAAAGGCCTTGTTGACACCGTTGGAGAACGGCAGGAGATCGGGAGTGAGGGAATCCGACACTGGCGACCGGGAGTCACTTCCTGTTGGCGGGCTCTTGCTGCACTCCAGGGAAGATGATGATGATGATGGGGTATCCGATCTGGCGGGATTAGACGTGTCATTCAGCATCCACGGGATGGCGATACATGTCCCATCTGAAATATGAAAGTGATGATCTGAGGAAGGGCCATTTTGAGTTCACATATAGTCATGCTCAGATGATGATTTGGTTTCGTTTGGAATCAGAATAAAAGGTTTCTGAATTCTTTGGGATTGATATTGATGTTCTGGTTTGATGCATGGTCAGCAAGATTCCACTCACTTCATGGCAGCTTGTAACGTAATCATATATGGACCAGGCAAACCAGTGGTTGATAGCATCAGCAACAACCCACGCCACTGACATGATGATACAGCCAGTTCAAAACAGGGAGTTGTTTATCCAAATATTGAGATATTTCTGACACAAACACTTCAGAAAATATGCAATGTATCCATACACAATGCATCAATTCACACCCTGTGTGAGTTGCATTTTCAGCTGTTTGCATAAAAATAATAATTTAGCCAACTGAGTAAATATCCACTAAATTCCTTGCCTGAAAACTGTTTTTTCTCTTTCCAAAACCAAATTTGTTCATAAAAATAAAACTGAGAATACAAGAAAAATACAGATGTAGTCTTTATGAACAAAACAAAAATAAAACAAACTTGCAACAAATGGCTTAAATCAAGTATTAAAAGTATCAATATCTCAACATTCCAGCTCTGTTTCCGACACAGCATTTGCATGCAGAGAGCCGGTTTATAAGTGAACTGCATAAATCTTCCACAAAAGATGGCACAAAAAAATAATGCCTAATCTAAATCCGCCTTGCAAAAAAATGAACCAATGCAGCAAACTATTTCTAAATCGGAAAAACCTTTTCTTCTTCTAAAATCTGCTTTCATACATGCTTCAATTATTTGCATAAAAGCGTCAAACATAATTTGTTATCGTTCTTGCTCATTTGAGGGTAGCAGGACAAGGAGGCAGGAAAGGCCCTAATCAAAGAAGCAAGGTTGCACCAAGGGTCAGGCCAACTGAGTGGTCCCTCACAAACCCAGCACAACATATCAAATGAAATCAGTATATTGCCAATCCCCAAGATATTTTTCACTGTTTCCCATTAATATTTATTTGGCTTTATTTATCAAAGATGTCCTCCGGTAATAAAAGCTGATTCCCAGGATAGCTTAGCCATCTCTTACAAAATATGCTGGTATCCGTTGAGAGTTAAGTTTTCTGATTGACTAAGGTCTGCTTGTAGAGGAGTTAATTAGAGCCGTGCCCATAGGGGGCGCTGGTAAAGAACAGCACGCCATATTATGAAACTCTATCATCCCAAGGGAGATTATAAACCAGAGAGCTACATTTTCACGAGTTAATTCTAACGACAGTTTGCGTCGTCTCCCTAAAGTCTCTCATCTCTCGATGTCTTGCATATTATGACAAATGAAAACTATCTTAGGTTTCTTCTTGTTAAAAAATACAATGGACCCCCAGAGGGCTCATTATTCAGGCCAGACCTCTGAATAGTTTTGTATATCCATTACAGGGCTGTCAATATATTCAGGTGTCGCCCCCTGGGAGCCAAGCAACACAGTTACTGCAGGCATGCTGCATCTTGCGGAGGCTGACCGAAATGCGGGGGTTCTACACAAAGTACGCAAACTTGGAAAACTTTCTTCATGTTGATTGGAAAATTCTGACAAACCACATTGGGTTTGGAATTGATGGTGGTCCAGTGATCAGCTTTTTGGTTGGTTGGAATTATTCTATCATTTACACTGATCACACTCAATAAAGAAGAAAATTATGCCTTTTTTATATTGTATTTCATCGACAGTGGTCATTTTGACAATGAACGATGGACAATTGTATTTTATTGCATCAATATAAATTCAATTGTGTTTATAAAGAAAAGGTATTACACATGTATCTTTCGTCCTTCAAGAACTGTGTCTTCGTCTCTGAAACTGACAACCGTAGGAGTGTCAATTCAGACATGGAAAAAAGGTGGACATTGTAATTCCCACATGCATTTAAAGTGCCATGCAATTGGGATTCAGTGTGTGCACATGTCAGCAGAAAAGGCATGTAGGATGCACACAGCGAAGGCGACCGGTTTAGAACCTCCATGTTGAGAGTTATGTGAGGTTGTGTGCAGACATTTTCTGTGATAATTGAACCTTCGGAGACTGGAGAGCTCCCTGGGGCCACCATTATAAGCAGGATGCATCGTAGCCCACGCCCCTGGATACCAAACTGGGGACCTGATGTAATTATTGCCACAGCCACATAGCACTTACCACCTGCCAAGACCCAAATGAGTGATCTCCCTTGGGTGTCTGCTGCTGACTATGTAATCATTCTCTACCAGGTGGAGCCCCCATCGGGATCAGCCAATGGCAAGCTAGACCTCAGTAGGGCCCCTTACCATTGAGGCAACTCCCCAGTCTAATCTATCACCATAATACAGTCCATTTCATGGCTCTTTTCAGAGGCATTTTATCTGCCTATGGAGACCAGGAGGTTTCAAACTGGAGAAAAGTAAACCCCAGCTGCTAAAATTATTTCCGGATCTGCACGAGCTTTATTTCAGGGAGGAGGGAGCCTCCAGTAAACTGAGCGAGACAGTACCCCCTTGGGGACAGCCATGACACTAGTCAATAAACTTGTAGTTTTTACCCGAAATGGGATCAAACGAAACCCAATGGCATAACATAAAGTACTTTGTCTCTTCATGGTGAAACCGAACGAACGGCTTTCTTCAGGCAGACGATTAAGCATACTGGCCATAACATTTGTTTCAGAATTACCAACACATAATTTGGAAATTGTAGAATTTGTATTCTTAAATCATTCCTTTAAAAAGATGTAGGATTTGTAATACACGTTTGTTGACAATTTTGAAATTTTGCACAATAAACACCTCAAACTGCTGTGTTTGTTTATTTGTTGTCTAAAGCCACACTCAGCAATATTCCAGCTATATGATGGCGGTCTCTAAATAAGCGAGTCTTGACCAGACAATCAAGTGATTGATATCATGAGCATCGATCCACGCAATTGGGATACGATGACATGCATCAAACAAGTCAGCGAGCCTGACCACCCAATCCCGTTAGTCGCCTCTTACGACAAGCATAGTCGCCTTTTACAGCTAGCATGGTTGCTGAAGACCTATTCCACCCTGGATCTTCACGGATCTCAAACTGTTGTGGATCGCTCCATGATGTCGTTCCTATTCATGATTGATGATCATGTATCTGTTTCATGTATCTTGTTTACAAGCAAGGGAACACACATTTGAAAGACCGAAGCACAAAAAGTGTTACCTAAATACAGAAAACACATGTAGCACCCTTGTCTGCAGCTATGTAATGCCTTGCTCATGTATGTTCATCACATGTTGGTATGTCAATCTCTTTCCCTTGCACCAGAGGTGTTGCCTATAGGAAGAATCCCATCCTCAAATCTCTGCGGATTTGATGCAACAATGAGGCAAGCCACTTTGCATCAATATTACTCTCTGGCAAAGATCTTCAAGCCATCTTTGTCTTCCACGGAAGATCTGTGTCTTACTGTCTTTGTGACTTATGTATAAGTCTGAGACATCAAATCATGACTTATTCAGTAAGTACATATGATACTATACTGAAAGTGCCACATGCAGTTAGAAAGAACAGTTATCTCCCTTTACTATATGGAACAAATGGTTCATTTCCTGACTGTAAAAAAAACATGTATGCTGAAAAATATTGAAATAAGTTTAATGCAAATCTCCCCATGGGACTACTTACATTCAGCCTTGCAGCCACAGAAAGATACTCTGAAACACCAAAAATAAGTCTAATGCTGAAGACACAAAGGCATCAGAATCTACAGCATATCGACCATTTTCTGGTGCCATTGTCATCAAGGTGGGAGATACACACATCATGTTTCTGGTGCCATTGTTACCATCATGTTTCTGGTGTCACTGTTACCATCCATAATATATCTGGTGCCATTGTTACCATCAAGGTGGGAGACACACGCATCATGTTGCTGGTGCCATTGTTACCATCAATCATGTTTCTGGTGCCATTGTTACCATCAATCATGTTTCTGGTGCCATTGTTACCATTCATCATGTTTCTGGTGCCACTGTTACCATTCATCATGTTTCTGGTGCCATTGTTACCATTCATCATGTTTCTGGTGCCACTGTTACCATTCATCATGTTTCTGGTGCCACTGTTACCATTCATCATGTTTCTGGTGCCACTGTTACCATCAATCATGCTTCTGGTGCCATTGTTACAGCCATCATGTTTCTGGTGCCATTGTTACCATCAATCATGCTTCTGGTGCCATTGTTACCATCAATCATGCTTCTGGTGCCATTGTTACAGCCATCATGTTTCTGGTGCCATTTGTACCGACAAGGTGGGAGACACACACATCATCTTGCTGGTGCAATTGTTACCATCATGGTGCCATTGTTACCATCCATCATGTTCCAGGTGCCATTGTTACCATCAAGGTAGGAGACAAACCCATCATGTTGCTGGTGCCATTGTTACCATCCTTAAGTTGGTGGTGTCATTGTTACAGCCATCATCTTTCTGGTGCCATTGTTACCATCAACATGGGAGACACACCCATCATGTTGCTGGTGCTATTGTTACCATCCATTATGTTGCTGGTGCCATTGTTACCATCCGTCATGTTGCTGGTGCCATTGTTACAGCCATCATCTTTCTAGTGCCATTGTTACCATCCATCATGTTGCTGCTGCCATTGTTACCATCAAGGTAGGAGAGACATCAACATGGGAGACACATCCATCATGTTGCTGGTGCCATTGTTACCATCAACATGGGAGACATGCCCATCATGTTGCTGGTGGCATTGTTACCATCAATCATGTTTCTGGTGCCACTGTTACCATCAATCATGTTTCTGGTGCCATGGTTACCATCAATCATGTTTCTGGTGCTATTGTTACCATCAAGGTAGGAGACACACCAATCATGTTGCTGGTGTTATTGTTACCATCAATCATGTTTCTGGTGCCATGGTTACCATCAATCATGTTTCTGGTGCCATTGTTACAGCCATCATGTT